TAGAGAAAATGTAGAAGCAGCAGCTCCTTCCGCCCTTGGCCAGGGTGGCCCTAGCTTCACTGTGCACTTTGGCCGCGGCGTCGTTGCCAGTTCCAGAGAGCCGGGAGCCCCACTCAGAACCCTGGCCCTCCCTTCTGCAAGGCTGGTGCTTTGGGCCATCACCTTGCCCGTGGGAGTGGTCCTGCCGGCTCTGCGCAGCAGGTCGCACTGGCTCCCTAAAGGGCCTCCGCTGCAAAAGCAGAGCCCGCAGGGGGTTTTGAAAGGGCCTGGCCCAGCATTTGCGTACGGTTTCCCACAGCTGTCCCCAGGCTGAGACAGGGATGCCAGCGCCCTCCTCATTCTGAGTCTGTTTTGCTGCCAGCTCCTGGCTAGCCAGACGCCAGACCTCCCTGGAGATGGCTCCTGTCACCGGGAGAACAGTGCCCTCTGCCGGCCTCCCTTGGTGCCTGTCTCTTGGTGGAGGCCTGGCCTATCCAGCTGCTGGGAGCGCAGGGGCCCGAGGCTCCCGCTTTGCTGGGGGAGCTGGGCAGCCGGCGGCGTCGTCGTTTGCACTGAGCTCCACTGTTCTCCATCCTGTTACTGCTGCCAGATTAATCTTCTAAAACACCACTTTCATCCTCTCACTCCCCTGATTGAAGACCCACAAGGTGCTTCATTGCCTTTTACATCAGGCTGCCGGCCAAGGTCTGGCGTCTCAGGCCTTCCCTGTCACCCTCCCGTGGGGGTCTCGGCTTTCAGCCCCTGTGCCCCAGAGGACTCCATCACTCCCCCTCCAGAGGAGGGAGGGATGTTGTGCAGAGAGCACCAGCCTCGGGGTGAACCAACCTGGCTCTATCCTGGCGATAATGGAAATTGCCTTGGTTCCTGTTTACGACCTGCCATGTCTCTACATGAACTAAGCACGTGTTATATATATTCGTTAATTCAGTCCTTACAGTGCAGTCTTACCATCCCCCTTCTACAAATGAGGAGCTGGAGTCAGAGAACTAAGACACGTAGCCAAGGGGCGGCCGAGCCAGGATCATGGACACCAAAGCCTAGCTCCCAGCCGCTAGCCTCTTCTGCCTCCTCCCGAGCTTGGCCGGGAGCGGGTGGGGGTTAGGCTGCCTCTCAGGTCACTGTAAGAAGTGAAGTAAGGGGTGTGCAGGGCACCCGGGCACACGGTGTCAGCCAGGGTCAGGCTCTCCGGCCCCCCTTCTCTTCTTGTTACTCAACATGAAGCCGCTGTAGTGACCACGTCACACCTCCAGCAAGTAGTCACCGAGGGCTTACCCTGTGCCAGGTGTTTTCCTAGGCACTAGCAACACCAGGGTGCTGGTTTCATGTCATATCTTCCATAAGGGAAGTCTCACCATAACCAAAGGGCCACAGCGGGGGCATTTCTGGCTGCCCAGAGTTGGTTACCGCCTCCTAAAGAGATCAGGGAAGCTTAGGGCCGGGCCCCTTCCCCATGGCCTAGTAGAGGCGGTAGAATTGGTCCTGCTGCTGTGAATCCCCATTCCCCTGGCTCCCTACTCCTCCCTTTCTGTGTAAGACTGGAATGGTCAAGAGAGAGGGAGCGAGGATGGCCACGGTGTTGGTGAGTGGGTGCCCCTCCCAGCACCTCCTTCCCCCACCAAGGGAAGGAGGCCCAAGAGGATCCCCCAAGACAAGATGCTGCCAGGAAGAGGAGGCTGGCACCGCCCCCCAAGCCGGATGTGGTGAGGGCACCCTTGGGAAGCTCAGCACACGTCCCGGAGCTCTGCCTGGTCTTCTCTGGTGGGGCGTTCCATGGGGAGAGGCTTGGGGAGAAGCACCAGGAAAAGCAAGGACTCGGTCTGGAAGGGCAACACAGGTGTTCCGCGGAGGGCTCCTACAAGGACCCACACGGAGGGGAGTCCTGTGGCCAGACAGGTACTGAAAAGGAATCTGCTTCCCACCAGGCAAAGAGCAGCGGCCTCTTCCACTGGCAGGGCTGGAGGGGAATATGGCTGCCCCTTCCTGAGGCGACCCCAGCAACAGACGAGGCTCAGCCCCAAAACAATCAGGCACCCCCCACCACAGGGATAACAACAGATGGAACCAGACCCAGACGAGGCCTGTGGAGAAGACACGCAGCTCCTCCCTGGCCCCCTTTTTTTTTCTTCGGAGAAAGGAATAAAAGATCTTGCTCCCCTCCCCACTATTCTGGATAAGAGATTTGAACAAAGACTGGGAGTTTTGAGCTGGCCTGGTCTGCCTTTCAGTGACTAGGATAGTCTGAAACATGTTGGGATCAGCCTGTTAAGACCCAGCAGGAAGGGGCCTCTGCAGAGCTTGGTGAAATAAAGTAATTGGGAAAAAGTAAAATGGCTTTGTTTTGGAGCCCATGGATTTGAGATTCTCCAGTAAACTGATTCTACAAGTAAATAAATGATGGAGATAATTTTAGACAGTGTGGATGACAAAACAGAGCTGTGATGGGTGTTGATTTCTGGGGTAACTGGGTTGGGGGGACAGGAAGGACTGTGAGAAGAAGGGACGTTTGTGCTGAGGTCCAGCAGCAAGGTCAGCAAGTGCAAAGGCCCTGAGGCACGAACAAGCTTGGAGCATGGGGGAACCTAAGGCCAGGGAAGACAGCCTGGTGTGCGCTGAGGAAGCAGAGGGAGGTGAGGTAGGCGGGGCCACAGAGGGAGGAATTTCTATTCTATTTCAAAAGCCAGTGGAGGATGGACATCAGAGCTTTTGTCTCACTCTGTCACCCAGGCTGGAGTACAATGGTGCAATCTTGGCTCACTGAAACCTCCGCCTCCCAGGTTTAAGTGATTCTCCTGCCTCAGCCTCCCAAGTAGCTGGGGTTACAGACACGCGCCACAACGCCTAGCTAATATTTGTATTTCTAGTAGAGACAGGGTTTCGCCATGTTGGCCAGGTTGGTCTCCAACACCTGACCTCAGGTGATCCGCCCACCTCGGCCTCCCAAAGTGCTGGGATTACAGGCGTGAGCCACGGTGCCCAGCCGGACATCAGAGCTTTTATATCCTCATAGTACCCAGCACTATTTGGGAACCTAGCAAGTGGCTATTAATTACTTGTCTAAAGACCCCACTCCCAAGGAGCAAACACTGACAAACCGCAGGCTACATCTGCAGATTTTATTCCTGAATGAAGGCATTTGCTGAATGAATGCTTGAATCAAATGCTATGTGCCAAACCCTGTTCTACATCCTGGGGATTTGTCAGTAACACAAAAATGCCTCCCCTCAGGGTGCTTACATTCTAGGGGGGTGGTGAGAGAGGTGTCCAGTTGAACAGGTAAATGTTGCAGTCTGTTAGGCTGCAGTAGAGCAGAGGGGTACAGAGGACATGCCAGGGCAGGGGCTGCAGTATTAAACAGGGAGGTCGGGAAGACCTTACTTCAAAGGTGATGTTTATGCAGGATTTGAGGGTCAGAGCACCTGGCACCCTCTAGGCATGGTTGGTTCACCAGTGGCCCCTCAAAGGTGGAGCTTGACCTCTTTCTTTTCCTGGTGCCCAGCACTGGGCCTCAGTAAAGTCCAATGAGCGTGGGAGGTGTGGATGGACACAAGATGCGACCCTGCCCTAGAATCACCTGCAATCCACGAAGGAGAAAGAGGGGCCGACACTTGATTTCTAAACTCCAGTGAAACCCAAAAAGGGTTCATCTTTCAAATCCTGAGGGAGGGTAGAAGAACTGACCCTCCATCTCCTTTGGGATCTCAGAGAAAGGGTCTATTTGTTGTCCTCCACGATTCCTGCCTTCTGTAAGAGCGGTTTGGCCCAGGACCCGGCCTCTTGTCCTCTTCCATGGCTCTGGGCTGCCATTCCGCAGTATCTTTGGCTGACTCTGGACATCCCCTGATTCAACCACAGAGGGTGGGGAAACCCAGGTGACTGGGAGGGTGGACATGCGGTGGGGTCAGTCGCGTTTGGGGTAGGTGTTCAGAAACAGCTGCCCGGTTCCAAAGCACTGCCTACATGACAGGCAGGCCCTTCCCTGCCGCATCCATGCAGATGAGGATGGGGTAGGAGCGGCCCGACAGGCGGCTTTCCCTGAACACTGTTTCTGCTGAGAGGAGCCCTGTAGTTTCCCATATCTGGGAAAACTGCATTGGTTACACCATCTTCTGGAAGGAGAGTTGGGAGCAGGAGGCAACCTGCTTCAGTGTCTATAAATAAGATGCATTCATTTGGGTGCTAAAATGTTGTGTTTTTTAAAACAGAATACTCAAATCTCTCTGGCCCAAACTGGAGTGGCAAGAAGCACAGATTCAACTGATACCCGGACGGGAACTGAACATTACACTAAGCTGCCTCTACTGGACAATTTGTGCCCACCCTGGACATGTGGAAGGAAGCCTTTGGTTTTGCACCTGTGCTTCCCATTCCAGCATTCATCTCTGTGCTGGGTCCTGCCCTGCACGGGAGATCAGGGAGGACTGAGGAGGTGCTCTGGAGGAGCTCCAGGTCTGCTGCCTAGGGATGGTTTCCAGGGACCTTGCAGGGAAATACCTGATGTGAGCCAGGGAAGAGAACTCCAGACAAAGGGAAGCATATGCAAAGGCCCTGAGGCACGAAGCTGGGGGCCCTCTTGGGGAACTGCATGCATTGTAGGGTTTGGGGAGAGAAAGGTGCCCAGCAGGTGAGGTCAGAGACAAGGATGAGGCAAGAACATGAAGCTCTTTGTCCCCAGAGCAGAGGAGTTGGACTTTTTCCAGAAGGGAGGGGAGGGGCATTATAGGGTTTTATCAGAAGTGACTCGCCTGGATTTTTGCTTCGGAAAGATCAGCCTGGAGGAATTCGAGGATGGAATGGGATAGGAGGTGCCTGGCAGTAAGGAGACCCAAAGCTGATGGAGACCAGGGGTAAGGTAGGACAAGGCTTCACCACCTCCAGCGTTAGCCAAAATTGGGAAAATGTACTTTCAGCCCCTTAGAGTTGGCCTCGTTTCACACACCCATCCCTTTTGTTCAGAACACCAATTGATTTTTAAAGTGTGTTATCCTTTATTTACTTTACAGACAGAGAAAACAACGAAAGAGTGACTTCTTCGGGTTGCAAACTGTCAGTGATGGAGCCAGGATTAAGAACTCGGGCTGGCTAGCCCTCTGTGCATAGTATGATGTTTATGTATACCATGCCCGTTCACTTTTCAGCGCTGCCAGGAAACAGAGCTGATGGATATGAGGAGGACAGTAGCAAAGAGTTTGTTTCCATCCTAAAAAGGCAAGAAGACTAGGAAGCCTCATCAGGAGAAAATATTGAATGGGCAGCTTTCGAGTTTCACCTGTGATCTGAGGGGAAAAGTGCATTTTTTTTTCTGAGACGGAGTCTTGCTCTGTTGCCCTGGCTAGGGTGCCGTGGTACCATCTCAGCCTCCTGGGTTCAAGCGATTCTCCTGCCTCAACCTCCCAAGTAACTGGGATTATAGGCGCCCACCACTGCGCCCAGCTAATTTTCATATTCTTAGTAGAGACGGGGCTTCACCATCTTGCCCAGGCTGGTCTCAAACTCCTGTCTTCGTGATCCACCTGCCTCAGCTTCCCAAAGTGCTGGAATTACAGGTGTGAGCCATGGCTCCTGGCCAAAAAGTGCAATTTCACCAAGCCATTATATAACTGGTTCCGGAGGTTGGGGGCGGGGGTGGGCAGAGAGGCGTGACCAGAGAATTGTATGGGGGTAAAAGGAGAGCAAAGACAGGGCCACGATCTAGAGGGCGGGGACTACATCTGATACCACCTGTAGACTCTGGATACAGCCAAGGTCTAGAGGTAAGAGCACTGGCTTCACATCAGAAGAGTAGAATTAGGATTGCAGCTGTGTGTCCTTGGACAAGGCACTGACCCTCTCTGATCCTCAATTTTCTTCTTTATCAAATGGGAATAATACCACCAACCTTACCAATTGTTGTGAGTGGACTGAGATATAGAAAACCTCCTTCTAGAAGGCATGATATATAGTACATGTTCAGTGCGACATAAATGATTTCCAAATCATCTGTAGTAACTATGGCTCTTTTATGACAGGAAAATAATGGGTGCTTAATCAAAAAAAAAAAAAAAAAGTCAGAAACTATTACCAAAAGCATAAAGAAGAAAATAGAACATATTCAAATCCTACCACTCAGAGGTAACCGCCCATCACATCCAGTGTGTGCGCCTTCTCCCTTGTCCCTCTGCATGTAAAAATACATACATGTTTTGAAACAAACAAACAAAAAAACCGTGATAATGCCATGTATACTATTTGGAACTTATCTCTTTTAACAACATCTGGTGGATATTATTTCAGGTCAGAAAACATGATTTTAGGCCAGGTGCAGTGGCTCACGCCTGTAATCCCAACACTTTGGGAGGCAGTGGCAGGTGGATCACTTGAGGTCAGGAGTTGGAGACCAGCCCGGCCAACGTGGTGAAACCCCATCTCTACTAAAAATACGAAAATTAGCTGGGTGTGGCAGCAGGCACCTGTAGTCCCAGCTACTTGGGAGGCTGAGGCAGGAGAATCTCTTGAACCCAGGAGGGGGAGGCTGCAGAGCAAGACTCTGTCTCAAAACATATGTGTGTGTGTGTGTGTGTGTGTGTGTGTGTGTGACAGAGAGAGAGAGAGAGAGAGATTTTACATGGTCATTTTATTTCTTTTTAAATAGTGAGAATTTTAAAACCTGCACAGAAACAGAATAGTGTGATGAACGCTCATTTACCTGACAGCCAGTTTCAGAAATTCCAAGATCCCGCGGCACTTGCCTGTTCCCCTCCATGATGGTGGTGGTTACAATCATTTAAACCAAATACCAGCCCTTCAGTCACTGCCTCTAAACCACCCACAAGGCCATCATCATGCTACATAAAATTATAGGAATTCTTTAGGAGCATCTACTGCTCAGCCCACATTCAAATGTCCCTGATTGACCCCCAAAGGTTCTTTTGCAGTTAGTTTATTACATGACCACATGTAATGATTTCCTGTTGAAGGACACCAGGTTTCCAGGTGGTCACTCAGGAAAACTGCCAAGGACAGTGTCCCCTTGCACACATCTGTGGACCCCTGTCCAATTATTTCTCCAGGACACACATTCCTAGAAAGGGACTTTCCAAGTCAAAATCTACGTACTTTTTTTAAAAAAAGCTTTTAATAGCATTTGACAAATTGCCCTCCAGATAAATTGTACCAGTTTACACTCCCACCAGTGGGGACTGGCACCCTGGGCAGCCCTGGGTCATTAATGAAAGGAAATTAGAGAGAGAGAAGGCAAGTGGAGAGAAGAAGAAAGAAGGAAGAGAGGGCTGGAGTGACAGGGGGCAGAGCTCGGGGTGCCCGCTGGGTGCCAGCCTGCCTGAGCCTGAGAGGAGCTCAGAGAACCAAGGGTATCAGCCAACCAGCGGCTGCACCAGATTAAGTCCTAAAGCAACGATTCAGTTGAGACCGAGAACAAAGCTGAGGCAAAGACTCTTCGATCCATTCTAATTAGGAGCTGCCTTTCCAGAGAAATCAGGAGCAGGCTGCCATGGCTGAAGGCAAAAAAGGAAGAAAAAAAAATGCTGCAAACCAGCTGTGCTCGAAGCTCAAAGCCCTAAAATCCCAAGAAACAGCTGGTCCACTGGCTCACAGTCCAGGGGACCCTGTCGTTCTGAGGGTTGTAGGATTCCACTAAGAGCAAGGATCTCGACCACCAAAGGCCAGGGTGCTTTCTGTACTGGGACCTCGCTAAGGACAGAGAGAGGATGAGAATGTGAGCACTGGCTTTGCTGCAGGGCTGAGGCTTTTTTTTTTTTTTTTTTTTTTTTCGCTATAGCTTAAAAGCTAAAATTTATTTCAGGTTTGAGAAAAGCAAAGAAAATTAAGATACATTTGAAGCATGCAACTACACACAAAAATGGAGAACAGGCTGGTTCTCCCCCTGTAACCTGTGCTAAGTGGAGGTGCAGTCTTGAGTGGACACGTGATGCACTGCTTCCCTTCAATGTACTCTCCCTGGTTTGCCCTAGTGTATTTACATGTTGATTACAATTGCCCAAAAGAGAACTAGTCCATGGATTAAAATGACCTAATTTTCAATTGACCAAGCCGTTCCAACGGTAAGCATCAAATACCCTGATATAAGGACCGCGCTGAGTTCACGGTGCCGAGCCCAGAAATCCCCTAGTCGCCATATCATTTATCAGATGGCATTTAAATTAAGAGCAGTCAGCCAGGCATGGTGGCTCACGCCTGTAATCCCAGCACTTTGGGAGGCCACAGCAGGTAGATCACGAGGTCAGGAGTTCGAGACCAGCCTGACAACATGGTGAAACCCCGTCTCTACTAAAAATACAAAAATTAGTTGAACATGGTGGCATATGCCTGTAGTCCCAGCTACTCGGTAAGCTGAAGCAGGAAAATCACTTGAACCCGGGCGGCGGAGGTTACAGTGAACTGACATTACACCATTGCACTCCAGCCTGGGCGACAGAGTGAGACTCTCTCAAAAACAAAACAAAACAAAAGCAGACAGTCAAAATATCACATATACCCCCCAAAATAGATACAAATGTCATATATCCATTAAATAATGGTTTAAAGCATGCAGGATATAGATCATGGTAGATTCTTGCAGTATAAAAGGAAGTTTTTAAGCAAAGAAGAAAGTTGCATGAACAAGTATCCTATCATTTTCAAAAAATCAGTAGTTCATACATTGTATGTTGATTTTATTTCACATGACACCTCTTTGAAGTGGATGTCAGTGTACCACTTTGCAAAAGACGAAAATGCACCCTGGACGGATGACATGACACCTGGCTTCTTCTGTGACCTCGGGCGCCTTCTCGACATCTGAATCTTTTTTGTCTCCTGCCTCATTGCCTCATTGCAGGTTCCAACAGCAGCTCCCTTGCTCAAGGGCAAGCTGAGTGCGAGGTACAAGCATGTGCTTAACCCCTGTGAGCCCCACTTTGGTCCCAGAATCTCCCCTAAAGCTTCTTCCAGCATGTTTCCTCTCACTCAACCTGCACAGCCACCCCAGGAAGCCAAGGCAACTGTTTCAGGTTATGGCTGAGGATGCAGTGGACCCGCAACCTGCATTCCCCAGTGCAGGCTTCTAGTGAGGCCACCACCACCTTCAGACATCTGTGAATCTCAGGAAACCTCCAGAGGAAGGTTGGGCCCTTCCCAGCCGCCTCCCTTCAGGTGCGTACTGGTCTCAGGGGCAAAACCTGCTGATGGTTGAGTGTTGGAAGTAAATGCTCAGTGCCACAAAGAAAAATCAGCTGATTCTGATTTTTTTTTTTCTTTTTTTTTTTTGAGACAGAGTCTCGCTCTGCCACCCAGGCTGGAGTGCAGTGGTATGATCTCACCTCACTGCAATCTCTGCCTCCGGGGTTGAAGCGATTCTCCTGCCTCAGCCTCCCAAGTAGCTGGGATTACAGGTGCCCGCCACCATGCCCGGCTAATTTTTGTGTTTTTAGTAGAGATGGGGTTTGACCATGTTGGTCAGGCTTGTCTCGAGCTCCTGACCTCGCCTGACCCACCTTGGCCTCCCAAAGTGCTGGGATTACAGGCATGAGCCACCACCGCATGCTTTGACTCTTTTTTTTTTTTTTTTTTTAAGAGACCAGATCTCGATATGTTGCCCAGGCTGGTCCTGAACTCCTGGCCTCAAGCAATCCTCCTGCCTCAGCCTCCCGAGTAGCTGAAATCACAGGTGCGCACCACTGCTCCTAGGTTGACCATTGATTCTATGATAACAGCAGCCTATGGAATGCTGGAAGCAGCCAGACACACTTAGGGATTCCCTCGGGCAACTCTGCCTGAACCTCAGCTTCCCCATCTGTGAAATGGGATGGTTGTTCCTCCCTCGCTGGGCCAGTGTGAAGGTGAGACGTGCTGTGGGAGAATGCCGGGCACACACACCCCTGACCAGGGTGGCTGCCCTGGTTGTATTTCAGCCTGGCCAGGCTGGCAGAGGGGGTGGCTACAGCCTGCAGCAGGAACTCTCAGCAGAGCCCCTTTCTCTGTCCTCACCCTCTGGGGTTGCCACATGTTCCCCTCTCTTGCAAGCTCTGGGACTCCCAACTCCAGAGACAGTGGCAGACACCAGGATATGGGGGTGTTGCCTAGGGCTGAGCCTTGAGTTAAGATGGGGGGATCCCACTTCTCCCCCACACAACATAGGCAGCCTTGGAGCCTCATGCAAGACAGGACCGGCACCAGTGCCCACCCACAGGCTGCAAAACCAGTGCAAAGGCCCAAAGAAAAATGAGTGATGGAGGAAGAGAGAGCCACGTGGGATGGAGGGGAGCCTCCAAGATCCCTGGCTGCCAGTGCTGGGA